ACTCAAATATGTCCACGTTTCAACTGTTTACCTGATGATTTTAGATGAAGTTAAAGAATTTGGAGTTGGTCCTCTTCATTATTTACTTTTTGTAATGTACCAGTATCGCTGGCAACAGAAAAGCCCCAGAGGCTAGAGGCTACTAGACAGTTGGTACAGTGTTCTAAGTTTTGAGCCTCACCCACCGAAAGCCTCCAAACATACCAGGGTTGGGGTTGTCACTCACTATAGAGCTCTGTTTAACAGAAGCAAATAACTGCAGCATTTGAATTCTAAATATCTTCCTCAGAGAAATACAATTTAGAAGAAGTTAAACAGCTCGAGTACACTGCTAAACAGCCCTTCTTCAGTTACATTTTTAGCTTTAGTCATTAGAAAATTGTATTTTCTGCTTTTCCAGATCAAAAAATAATAAATTAGAATGACATTTAAAAAACGCCACTATGTAAGAATTTCTGTAGTATAAAGTTATGAAATTATATTTAATAATTCATTTATCAATTTTCAATTGTTATCATTTATTTTACGGTCATAATCCATACTTTTCTACTGTGCTGAAAAGACAGTGACGCCAAAACTGGCTTGCTTGATAACAAGCACAGCACAGATAACAACTCAGTGTCTATGCCAAAAGACTACTTGCATATTTTTGGAGGGAGTTTAGTAAATCTTATGGTTTTAAACAACCCTGAAGCAGTTAGAGTACATTCCTCTAGCGATTTTTTTCAGAAATGATCTAAATGTACATGAGAAATCTGCTGAATCACGTCTGTTAAAGCAACCCGTGAACTTCGGATTGTGTGAGGACACATCTCAGCAGATACAATGTTACAATGAAAGACCTCCTTTGCCTGCCAAAGCCATGTCGTGACAAGAGGATATCTTTTATTGCGGCGAGAAGGTCAGCTTCAATTAGACACTGCAGTTTTGCTTTGATGTATTTTCACAGGATGAGAACAGCGTAATTACCCTCTCAAACCTAATGCTCCAAAACCAAAGCTGTGTCTATCTGCACACACTGACGGAAACACTGTATGAAGACAGACACACACAAGAAGGCGTATACTTACAATGTAAGAGCATGCATAGTTCACAACACAAAAACAGCAAAAACAACCAGACGGTTGTTCGTCTACGGACTTACACTCGCATGCAGACCACATCTCTTTTGTCTCATCTGCTCCCAGACTCAGCGGCTGTGATGAACTGGAAACATGTTTCTGTTAAACAAAAAGAGCTGTTATACTGTGCATTGCAGCACAGCAATAGGAAGAAGGAAGGCTATTTTATTGGCCTTCGCTTCCACTGACAGCTGTTCAACATGCTGAAGGGTCTCCTGCAAGAGATGGCATGGGCCAGACTTAAAGGTGTATTGCTAGGTAGTTACAGTAAAATACAGTTATTCACTATCTGTACTGGGAATAAAGTTAATTAAATAAGATTTAATATATTTATTTTATACAAAGTATTAACAAACAGAAATGTTACTCTGTCGATGATTATGTATCTTTAACCTTGCTACAATGTTTTTCTCTACAGGGCAAGAAGGGTCGTCCTGGAGAGGATGGAAGCCCTGGCCCAAAAGGACAAAAGGTGCAGACTTGTATTTATTTCACACAGTTAAAGCACATGCAAACAACGTGGCCTGCCTTTCCTTTTTAAACTAAAATTCCCTTTTTCACAGGGTGAGATTGGGCTCGGTGGACTTCCAGGTCGAATTGGAGCAGAGGTGAGCTTAAATCAAGTTGGTAAGGTCAAGGCTAAGTCAAGACTGACAAATTCAGTGTGAAAGCCTTAACATCGCTCTTCCATAAATCATTATTGTAGAATGAGAAGAATGAAGTATTTTTTTGTTAACTGTATTCCAGCGCTTTTCTCTTTGTCTTTATCCTCCTGACGTGATGTTTTGTACACACAGGGAAAACCAGGATACAAAGGGGAGAAGGTAATGTATAGATTCTAGTCTCTCTTTATGTCTCTCTCTCTGTCTTCATGGTTACGCAAACTTCCCCATGCTTGTGGGAAACTACAGGATTATATCCTCCGTACATGATATAATACAGTAATACTGGAAATGTGATGCAGTTCAGTTTTGTTTCAGTTTTACAACTTTGTTCAACTATCTTTGATTCCAATCTTGTGTTTACATATTTCCCATTGTACAATGATAAAGTTATCCTTGGGCATTACACTCTGTGTCATAAATGTGTCACAGAAAAACCATGGGATACAAGTCCTAAATTATGCATAATGATGCTATACTAAAGAACTCACCTAACACTTTTTATTCTATCACAGGGAGAGAGGGGGGAGTGTGGCACACCTGGAATTAAGGGAGACAGAGTATGTTGCAATTTGAATGTTGTGAAACAAATCTTATATATGTGTTCAAATATTACAAAGTTGCTAAAGCACTGCTTGTGAATATGAAGCTTAACAAATGTCATTTATTACAGGGTCCTGAAGGACCAGTTGGACCAAGAGGAAATCGTGGACTTCAAGTAAATTTAAATTTTATTTCTCTTGGTATCAAATCACCTGTCAAAACATCCCACAATGCACTTAAGAATGATAAAAAAGAGGACAAATTTGTATCATTAAATTGTATGATATTTTTTAAATAGTGACTGTTAGTGGCAGGTACACATCAACAGGTGTAGCCTATCCATACAGCCTTAGCATGTTGTTGTTCAGGTCAGTAGGACATCAGGACAGTATTTTTATTTCAAAGATGTCGGTCTATGTTATCCATAATTAATTTACATTAACTTAATGTACTACTTCTGTCTACTACTTACTTATATATAAGTGTGTCACTCACACACTCATTTAACTTTTAGGGCTTATCCGGCCCACCTGGTGATACTGGACCTGAAGGTGTGATGGGCAAAAAAGTAAGTACTCCTCTGTCTCAGTGAAGCCAATTGCAGTGGTTGACATGTGTGAAGCTTCCATCTAAAATACTGATAGTATGTAGTGTAGTTTAGCCTCGGTTCACATAATGGGTAGAGATTTGTTTGCTTTTACTTTCTTTTCATCTTTTTTACCCACTACCTGTTTGCAATATTATTTGCAATTTTTTGCCAACATCATCAGTTTTAAACAATTTTATTTTATTTTATTTATATTTCACCAAATCTCAACAACATTTATGCAAAGTGCTTTATATTGTAAAGTAAAGACCCTACAATAATACTGAGGAAACTACCCCTATGAGCAATCCTTTGGCAAAAGTGGGAAGGAAAAACTCCCTTTTAACAGGAAGAAACCTCCGGCAGAGCCAGGCTCAGGGAAGGGGAGCCATCTGCCGTGTCCAGCTGGAAGTGGGGAGAAGGGGGCAGGACAAAAGACATATTGTTGAAGAGAGCCAGACTTTAATAATGACTAATTATTAAATACAAAGTGGTTTATCAACATATAGAGGGTTAAAAGAGGTGAGTAAAGGGGAAACAATCATTGCATCAGAGAAAGCCTCCAGCAGTCTAGGACTATTGCACCGTAAGTAAAGGAGGATTCAGTGTGATCTGATCCAGCCCTGACTATAAGCTTTATCAAAAGCGTAGATGAGAGTACTTGAATGAAGAAGTTTGAATGGGTGGGTAAGTTGTATAAAATGCTTTGAGTTCTCAGAAAGAGTAGAAAAGCGCTATGTAAGAATCAGTCCATTTACCATTTACCTCACCTTATCCAGCCCTAACTAAGCTTGATTACAAAGGAAAATTTTAAGCCTTATTCTAAAGGTAAACAGGCTGTCTCGTGGGAGTTTGGCCCACAGAAGAGATGCTAGACTTAACGGGGAGCCAATGAAGGGAAACCAATATGGGAGAAATAGGCTCTCGCTTTCTTGTCCCTGTAAGTACTCTTACTGCAGCATTTAGGTTCAACTGAGGGCTTTTCAATGAATTGTTAGGATATTCTGATAGTCCAGCCTACATTCAATGTATTAACTTGTTTTTCAGGTGATTGGCTATTCAGAGTAAGTATCTGGTTAGTGTTGATGCAACCCCACTTTGATTAATACATCTCCAAATGGATACAGTAGATTTAAGTCATTTTAAGGTGGCTGGATTTAAAGTCACACAATTCATGTGAAATAAAGGTTTAATGTGTTTTATTTATTGCTTTTCTTTAAAAAAAATTTTTTTTCTTGTTACACACAAAAAATGTGTTGATTTTCTTACTCTTCCAGGTGTCCAATAAGTTAACCAGTAACTGACAGGTTTAGCCAGAAGGTAATAATTAATGTGAAGACAGAAAATTGACTAAAAGAAAAACAGTTTATAAGTAAGAGCACAAAACAAATGTTTGAAAAACATGGCACAGGGAAATTAAAAGTTATGTTAAAAAAATGGGGAAATTACTTAAGAAAAAGAAATGAAATAAAATCGTTAGATGTCCCAATGAAAACACTGATGAGAGTAAAAATTCTCCAAAAAGCACCAGCATCACTGGTTGAGTTGAAGCTTAAGTCACCTGTGTAGGTAAACCTATACTACCCATGCAGGTGTACCTGTCAATTAAAGCAACCATAGATACACCTACAATATCATTTTAAGCCTGTATCCAAATACTTAATTAAAGCAGTAGTACAGTTGAAGCCAAAATAGTTTTTGTGCCATACTCAAAATAAGGGGCAGCACGGTGGCCCGGTGGTTAGCACTGTTGCCTCACAGCAAAAAGGTCCTGAGTTCAATCCACTATCAGTCTTTCTGTGTGGAGTTTGCATGTTCTTCCTGTGTTTGCGTGAGTACACTGGCTTCCTCCCACAGTCCAAAGACATGTAGTTTGTGGGGATAGGTTAATTGAAAAATCTAAATTACTTGTAGTTCTAAATGGCTCTCTGTGACAGACTGGTGACCTGTCCAGGGTGTACCCTGCCTCTTGCCCTATGACAGCTGGGAAAGGCTCCAGGGACCCTGAGAAGGATAAGCAGAAGCGAATGGATGGATTCTAAATGAGGTTTTTAATGTTGTAACGTTGGACATTTTAACTGGTGAGTCTATCAGGACTCACTCACTTTCAGAGCCACCTTAAGTGGCTTTAGAGGAACTTTATTTTTGAGCAATCAAGCCAGTCCCTACTTTTGTTTGATTGTTGTGTAGAGAATAAAGCATTTTTTACATTTAAGATAGATGCATCTGATTGTGGCAGCCTTTTCACTCCACCTTCCACTGTGGCCCCTGTGGAAGGGCTAGAAGTTCATTTGATTTTCAACAAGGCTGCACTACATGTCTTTAGAACTTGTTCCGAGAGTACAAAAGTGAACTAAAGGAGACATAAATCAGACATTGCTTTATATGTGATGGAATTCTCTCTGAACCAGAGACTGGCCTTTCCCCTTGTCCAGCCCAAAATCATTCATCAAAGGTGACCCAAAATCTTAAAAACCAGATGTATATCTAAAGGATACACTTTTTTTTTAAGCTGGACACATAAAGTCCTTTGAAGTCTGCTTTGGGTTAAGTCTTACATAGCCGTATCAAAGGAGCCTCCAATAATTCTGGTACCTGTGGAGTAGTAGTGGTGAAACATGAAACGCTTTGCTGCCTATGGAAGAATGTGACATAAATAAAGTGTTTGATCGTCAGATGCAAAATATCACACGCACAACATTGACATTTAAAATGCAATTTGATTAACTTCATCCAGCGCCGGCATAAATAACATCACAAATGTCAAGTAGCTCTACTAACTGATAACACTGATTCAATGACTATACATTTGAACGCTTTTATTGTGAGTTATGATCCGTCCCTGCTGGAACATTGGAAAGCCCTCTGAAGTAGCTCATCTGTTATTACCTTGTCAGCTTATTTGTCTGTTTCCACTTTTTAAGCCCCCAGTCCCGTGTTATACCTGCCAATTCTGCCATAAGCACACACTCCCCCACCAAGTGTTCCCTCCTTAATTATTTTGGAAGAATGTTCATGTTGATAATCTGGCTGTCATCCTATATCACCTGAATGGCAGACTAATGTCTGGCATTAAACATTGTCCCAACTTGCTTGAAAGGGCAACAGAAGAAAAAAAATCTACTGGTATGCGCCTGCTAACATTTCTACAGCCTCTTCACGCCTTTTGCTCGCCCTCCTGTTGCACAGCAAAGCTGTGATTTATGACCTCTGCGTGAATAATTGCATTCTTTAACAATAAAGCTAAAGGAATGAAGGAACCCCGTAGTACTAAATCCCCTTTAAAAACAGCTGAGAAGGAGAGGAAGCAGAACATGTATGTTTATGTGGGTGTGGGAAAGAAAGTCAGTCATTTCGGATTTTTTTTGCTGTTGTTTACAACTGTACGTGCAACTGTTTATGCGCCTTTGTATCCACAAGTCTGTCCCTGCTTGTCTTTTTATAGGGGGAAAGGGGACTTCCTGGGCCACCTGGAATCCAAGGGGAACAAGGGATTGGCCTTCCGGGACCCAAGGTAAAGTCTGCTACCCTATTCTTTTGGAAAATTAAGTTACAAAGGCATAATAATCCACTTGACTCTCACCCTGTATGAGCACTCCTGTCACTTTCTTGCAGGGTGATATTGGTTTCCAGGGGCAACCAGGGCCTCCAGGTCCTCTAGGAATTGGTGAGCCTGGACCACCGGTGAGATAAACTAGCAACTCACACTTCACATTAGCATTGTAGATGATGGCAATGTAATGTCAAAATGCCAAATGTACAATGTAATGGGTATGGAGTAATGATGGGGGTACTTAAACTTCTGGATACATACATAAATAAATAAATAAAATGCGAGAAGATAGCATTTTTTGCTCTTGGTACCTTCTTCCAAGCAGCTGAAATAGTGAATGGTGAAACAACCTGAGTAACTATGGCAACTAGCTTGCTAAACTGGAAAAGCGCTGTTTTTGGACAAGGCAAAGGAGGCAGAAACAAGAGTAAACCTTGAAAGGTGTGAAGATTTGTCCAGTGGACATTAAATAAAGACCATTATGAGCATGTTTAGGAAGAAAAATACCTCTTAGACACATACAGCTTCAGCAGTGTATTAAATAGTTTAAAAAGTGATCTATTTCTGTATAAATGTGAATGATAGAATCATTTGACATGTAAAGAAGCGACAGAAGAAAATATGGACAGCCATGCAGAGACATATTTTACCTGGAGAGACAATCTAACTTACATTAATTGTACCATTGAGATCAGTGTGACTAAAACTCAAAACAAAGTGCTTGACAGCTGGGATATGCCTCTCTTTTTCCCTTGCAATGTTTTGTACCCTGCATAAGCATTGCAACTTTAGAACAATAATTGCTGAGGGAATAATCTATCTTTTGTGCAATACGTTGACCATTTT